ATTTTTTGCTGCAGTATCAATTTTTTTGCCAAATTTTTTGCCACAGTATCAATTTTTTTGCCAAATTTTTTGCCACAGTATGCAAAAATTTTTATTAATATTTTTAGTGCCAAATAGCAGCAATCATAAATAATTCATCAATCTTTTTATTATTAATTTTGACAAATTTGGCAATAATTCAGCAGCCGAATGATACAATTTCGACTAGTGAAAGCTGGCTTCTCTTGTTATCCAAAAAAATTATCAAAAAAAGAAATTTTTAAGAAAATTGGGAATCAGCAAAAAGAGTTTTTTTTTTGTATTTTAAAATCTTACAATTATTATCTGAGATCTTTTTTATTTTTTTTAAAACATATGGTCAGACTAGTATTGTATATTTATTAATCATTATGAAAACTGATAGAAATATATAGGACAATTGCATTATAGTTAAATTAAAAGACTTGTACTGATACACTCATCAATGGCTTTCAATTCTCAAAATAGCTTCAGTCTCTAAATGCAATCTTGAGAACAATATTTTACTCTGGATTAAATTTTGGATAAAAATCTTTCTAACTTATCTATTATTGCTAGCAGGTTATTACTACTTATTATTCTTCAAAGAACTGAATCCAAGAAACTACAAAAGGAAAAATAAAAAATAAAAGAAAAGGGGAATATTTAAAAATATATAAATGCACTATATAAAAATGAATAGGAAAAAAGAAAATTAAAAATAATCAATGTCCTTTAAAGAATCTCTGCTAAAAATCTCTTCTCATTAGGAATTAACCCTTTTGAAATATCCTTTTTCTTCTTGACCATCTGAGAAACTTATCTATCTATACTCTTGATTATTTTTTTGTGACTGTCTAAGGTACTTATTGTCTACTCAGATTTAGTATCTTGCTCAATACTTTCTTTCTTTTGGTCTTAATTTTGTATCTATTTACACAAAAAAAGATGACTAACAGTAGACCTCAGATTCTTATATAGCTTTTTAGTCTTGTTAAGTAACTCCTAATATCTTTCAATAGCTATATCTAATTAAAGAAATTTTACTGATATTCATCTTGATTATGATATTATTACTCAATATCTAATGAAATGCATTCTTAATTCTAGAAAAAGGCAGTATTTTACATTTCTCTATTTTTCAGTCTTACAGCTTGATCAGAATAAGAAAATAACCTCCTTCACGTACTTTACTTGATCAGAGTAATAAGAAGTTGAAGGCCTCAGCTTGAACAAATAATCACCTTTTCACTGACTAGAAAAATTAGTGTTCATCCTAATAGTCTTATGATTTCTTTGCTTTAGTTAAACTTTATTTGAAGAAGTGAAGAAGTGAAGGAGTTTGTATTCTTAATTTTTCTTTCAATTATCAATGACATTATCAGAATATGTGAGATAACCAATAGGAGCTTGTTTATATTTAGCTACTAACATGTTTCATGTCAACCAATTAGATGCCAGGTGATGTTGTGCTACTAGAAATTCAGGATCAAATTGAGGTAGGTAAAATCACTCAAGAAAACTATAAAAAATAGTAAACATTTTAAAAGAGCATAAGACAGTATGTGAGAAGATGGAAAATAAGTTTTCTCCTATCAATAAAACCTTTATTTTTTGTTACTTTTAGCTTTGTAAGGTGATATTTCACTAGTTAATCCTTTTATTTCCTAAAATTTTCTTACCTTTAGTAAAGAAAGTGCATACTTAAGTCTTTTCAGGTCACTAGAGGCTCAAATTTTTATTCAAAGGAGTTTATAAACAAGTAAGAGAGAATAAAAGAGATAAATAAAGACAAGCTTCAAATTGTCTTAATGAAAGTATAAAGACTTTATTAGTAAAAAAATATAAAACTTCTTGTAAACATCTTTTTTGTGTGTGACCAAAGAATTAGTGGATTATTATCTGAGGTCATTGTTATTAATAATATATTAAATTTTTATATACAGTAAATTTAAAAAAAATTTTTTTTAATAAAAAAAAAAAACTATAATATTATAATAAAAAATTAATTAGAAAATAAAAAAATAAATTCTAAATATATAAAAAAAATAAATTTTAATTAATTTAAAAAATTTTTTAAATCTAATATATAAAAAAACAATTAAATAAAATAAATTCAGGAAATCTTTAAATATAATAAGACAAATAAATTAAAAAATATATTTGAATTAAATTTATATAAAAATTTTGAAAATTTAATAATTAAAGTAAAAATTTGATATGAATAATTGAGTTTTAATTTTATCAAAACTTAATAATAATCTATAACAATAATATGTAAACAATAATATTAATAATTAAAAAAATTATTATCTAAGACAATATATTATTTTCAAAGTTACATTTAAAATTATTATTACTAAAACAAGTTAGTTAAAATTTGGTTTTAGTAATATATATTATTATATATATAGTTTATAATATAATTATATATTTTTTAAAAAAAAAATTAGATGATATGGATGTATACTTATCAGATAAAAGTATTTGATTATATGAAGATCACTAATTAAAGAATCAAACTTTATTTGTGATTAATTTTAAATTTAATGTATAAAAATGTATTGAAAAAAAATTTTTTATATAGTTACAAATTTCTTTTATTTAAAAATAAAATGTCCAAAATTCACAAACTTATTGATTTTGAATGTGATAAGATTATTAGTCTATAAAAGAGTAATCATAATGAACACAATATTAAAGATATTTTTAATTATCCAAAAACAACTATTTATGATATTATTAAAAGATATAAGATAAATTAATAAATTATTATTATTTTTAGATCTGGTAAATCTTTTAAATTAATAAAAAAAGGCATTAAATATCTTATAAAAAAATATAAAAGAAGATTGATAATATTCTTTGAATAAAATAACAAAAAATTTTATTTAATTATTAATAATTCAAATAAGTTCTTATACCATTCAATATATTTCATATGAAAGATTTTATAGTCAAGTTGAAAAAAGAAAACCTTTAGTATTTAAAGAAAATTGTAAAAAAAAAGTAAAATAATGTTATACAAGAAAAAATTGGGATTTAAAATGGAATACAATAATTTTAAGTAAGAAATCTCATTTTTTATTGTTTCAAAATAATTTATATTATTGAGTTTAACAATATTTATATGAAAAATATGATATAAATTATTTAATTCTAATAGTAAAATCAGAAAATCAAGATATAATGATATAAAAGTATTTTATAAAAAATAAAATTGGATCTTTAATTCAAGTTTCTAGTAAAATTATAGGATATATATATATTGAAGTCTTAAAAAATAATCTTTTACCTTTTATTGATAAATTAGATAATATATTTTTCAAAATAATAATACTTTAATTTATTAGGCAAAAATAGTTAAATAATAGTCAAAAAATAATTCAATAATAAATATTTCTTGATTTGCACAATCACCAGATCTTAATCCAATTGAATATTTATTAAATATTTTAGAAAAAAAAGTTTGTAAATATGATTTCCATCCAAAAAATTTTATAAAATTAATGATTATTTTAAAAGAAGAATGGAATTTAATTGAATTAAAAAATTTAGTAGAAAATATGCCAAGAAAGATCCAGGCTGTAATAGATAGTAATGGAAATCCAACAAAATATTAATAGTATTAATCAAAAATCAAACCTTTGTGAACACGTTAGTATAAATTTTATTAAAACAAAATTGGCTTTAAATAATTATTTTGAATTTATAGACAAATAGATAAGTTAATGTACACACATACATAATCAAATTATGGAAAAAAATTTCTAGATGTTTATTTTTAATTGTTATTTCGAAATCCTAGATGAATTACAAAGTTAATTATTATTATAATTGTGTTCTTGACAATCTATTAGTAACCGTTAAATTTGAAAAAAAATTAAGCGTAAACTTTATTATATATGGATATAAGTATTAATGCTTTATAACAGACCCTAATTGTTCATTTCCTTTTCTGCTCGGGTTTGTAATTAAAAACGAGCAAAGAAAACAAAAAGTGCAGTCAATGACGCCACAAAACAGACATTCATTATTGGAGCAGAAATAGAGGAGGCTTTAGCATATGGATTAAAAACGCTTGGAGAAGAACTTGCACCTGAAGAGGCAGAAGTAGCGGTGATCGAAGCCAAAGTTCCTGTGTGGGTAACATTGGCGGCACAGGGTTTTTGGCATGCGCTTATGCAAGATTGGTCGCTGCCACAACTATTCGTACAATTTTGCACGTAATATACACATTCCTCGTACGGTATTGTCAGAGTATAGTCTAAATTATAAGGGTTATATTACGTTATTATGACGTCGAGAAAAAGTTTCGATCAAGAATAACACTTACTCGTATTGCTCGGTGGTTTTCCGTCGCTGCATAAACAGCTGTATTGGAGGCTTGTAGGGTCACATGTATTGACTGTTACATTCTTTCCACTATTTAAACAAGAGTTCGTGCAATCTCCTTTTTGGTTACTACACCAAGTCTCCTTTGTCGACTCGTCGAGAGAACTAGCTATGGCACTGGCGACGGAACTAGGTACGGAATAAGGCGTGAAAGCAGTTGAGGTAGTAAATGAGGTAGTAGGTCCGGCATCGGAAGTGACAGAATTAAATGTGGTACTAGTTGTGAGTGCGGAACTAGCTGTTAATATCGCGAGAAGTTTTGTCAGTAATGGATTTCTTGAATAAATATTCCATTGTGTGTAAATTGACAAGGTTAAAATGCAAACTTACGATCAGCGGAGATAACGCTGTATGTGAAATAAAGAAAAGCAAAAATTAATATATATAACTTGGACGTGGTGAACATCGCGGCAAAGTTGTTTTTTTTTGTTTTTTTTGATGAGAATATAATTCTTTTTTTTTTAAAAAAAAGACGAAAGGTTTTCGGGTGCGAATAATTAGGGACGTAAAATCAATGTTTTTCAAAATTGCCGTTCGACCAGTTTTTATAATTGGTGAGACCAGTAATTTCTATATATGACAATTTAATTAAGATATTGCTTATTGTCGGCGTTTTTCTTTTTCTCTAAGTATATGTAGGAGCCGGCTTATGCATCATGTAGTGTAAAACCAACTACATTCGTCCCGTGTCCCAAAAAAGTGTTGGTATGTGTAGTTGCAATCACACTTGCTCATATACTAATATGGACGGTCTATGATCTTTTCTATTTTTATATTTGTATCAGGTTAAAAAAAAAGCTTTAAAACAAGCCAGAAATACGCATGTACTTAAAAATATCTCATTATGCCAGAAAAAGCACATGATTTTCTAATTTAGTATGCACCAAGAATATTTTCTCTACGCTTAGCCCATTCCATTTGTCATATAATATATCGAACATCTCTAAGAGATCAATCTATACTTTTATTTTTGAGCATTTTGAGGGTAACGCCAACGAATTTATATTTTGCGCGCTGACAAAATGATCGGCAGTTGAAAATTTAATATACAGTATATAAATTGCACATACGTTCTTAAATAATAATTTAATTATAGATAAATCTCTTAACTATAAGAGTGCATTTAAAGGTGTGTTTAGAGAATTGGGCAAAATTAACATATGCCGCCAATATTAGTATAACGTTGACCGGAATTAATATAAAATTGATTAGAATTATGATGAGTTTATTAACTTTAAACAAGATTTAGGTAAAATTAGTTTGTTAAATAATATGAATTAAATAAAATTAAAAAATTTTTGATTTATTAGATAAATTAAATATAAATCAAAAAATTTAATTTATTAAATAAAATTAAATATACAATAAGATTCATATGTTATTGATCAATTCCTAAAAAATTCAATTTTAACTTTAGAGCTTTAAAAATTTTAAATTAGATAATCTATTTCATATCATTAATTCTTTTTGTTTTTTTGTTTTTTTTAACCCTCTGTCAGGTTAATTAAGTGTGCTTTATTAAACATTTGTAAGCTGTACATATTAAATGAAATGCTAAAGCTAAATCTCTAACTAACTCAC